GTTAGATTTAAAAGAACATGAAGAAAATAAGTAGGTTCAGCCAAATAGATAGAAGGTCGATGAGCAAGGAGACCGCGTTACTTATCATAAAAAAGATGCAAAATTCGTGCACCAAGGAAATTTGGGTAAAAGGAATAAGGTGTTGCCTAGTTTATTCAATGCAAATTCAGGGTAGAAACTTATTGATCGGGTTGCATTAAGATTTGTTCAAATGGATCAAAAATTGATTTGACTGGAAAAAAAATAAGGGATACGTTTTACCATACTGAAGAAGAACTCCCGACAAATTCCAAAGTCATATTTCAAGCAACATCCCTTGCCTTACGGTACTAATTTTATTTGACAATGCTAGCTAAAATCTGTATTTACCTTTTCTCCAGCTGCTAGAAGAAATGCTGCCAGATCATAGGCATAACCCACGCAATGGGTACGTACTGAACTCTTCAAGCTCTGCATTGTGTCGTAGATGGCCAAACTTGGAGTTAACTGCAGAGATCATGATATCATCAGAAAAATAATGCTAAACAAACCAATAGGATATTCACAATAAAAGGAAAATATAACAGACAATTATGGAATTTATCCCAAAAAAGAAAAAAGATTGAACTCACATCTCCACCTGGACCATTTAAGTACATATAGAGTGCTTTGGAAGATTCAATGCTGTCGAGATATAGCATGGTGGCCAAAATTTGATTGCTAAACTCTTCATCAATGTTTTGCCCGATGAAAATAACTCGTTCTCGATACTAGCCACATGAAAAACGTAGAGATTATGGGGGAAAATCTTCATATAGTAGATATTATTTAAAAAAAAAAAAAAAGAAAAAAAAAAGTTGATTTTTACATTGGACACTTATAGGAGAGAACAGTTTACTTTGATATAATTATACCCATTGGAACTCGTGAGTCTCATAATGCTGAACTGTATTTTTGCTCAGTCTGAGTAATTAAATATCAAGTGACATTAGACTGTATTGCACAAAAAGTGCATAAGAAGATGTATCACTTACAAGGGCATTCCACAAATCAACCCATTGCCAAGTTCCCTCGCCAGGATTTCTGTAAGGCACCCTTGGTGTCCCGATAGGCATCATCTGAAACTGCATACGGGATGCCTTTTTGTTATTTGTACTGCACGTAAAGTAACGAATTAGAAGAATATATGTAGGATAGGATAAAACTGAATATCTTCTCCTTTTACTTCTCTTTAGCTTTTGTTATCAGAAGGGATAAGAAAAATTTGAATGCATGTCTAATTGAAAGGAAATATGAAAATTTGAGGGAAAAAGATGTCAAGAGAATATTAGAGGAAGCAACAACTGGTATAATTGGCTTAAATCTCCATAATCACAAGTTTCACTTTACAATTTGAGGGAAAAAGATGTCAGGAAAATATTAGAGGGTACATGTCAATTACCATTAAGCCAAGCTCAATAAGGAGGAATATCAAGTCAACCTCTCCAGACTCCTTGCCATTATATCTCATGATTTTGAAACAACAAGGAAAATGTTCCATGAAGAAAACAAATGATCCATGTGAAAATAAGTTAACAATTTTATACTCCTTCATCCTTGAAAGTATAGCATGTTATGAAAGTCCAAGCTTTTCAATTGATTAATATCACCAGAATGTAACAGGATATTTAAGGATAAACTTCCCAGCTCAGAAAATTAATGAAATTAGGATGTAGGCTTAGCTAGAGCTGCAATTACCTGGATTGTAGACTTTTATGAACTTTTCCATAGAATTCAACAGTAAGATTAGGTTTCGCTCCTCCAAATGGACCTTTAAAAAAAAACGAAAACAAAGGAAAGCAATACGTAATTAAGGGGCGGACAAATAGATGAATGACACCATGAGAAGGAAAGGAAAGTAAGCCTACTAGCAGATTGAAGCTTTAATCCCGAGTAAACCTTCGTCGCAGGGCTTACAAAATTCAAAAAACAGCAAGAAAAAATCAGGTAAGCGTCGCGAAAAGCATCAATTTTAACAGTTAACCAGAAGAGAGAGGAAGAACCTGATCGGAGATTGAGAAGTTATAATTTGCGGTTGAAAACACGGAGTAGAAGAGGCGGCCATTTTGAGTCGATGACAGAACTCCCGATTCGGAAGAAGATGATACAGCACCTTGCCGAGAAGGACCAGGTGGAGCCAGATTTCTAAATTGGGCCTTTTCGGGATTCGATGAAAGCCGCTGAGCCCGATAGATCATTGGTGGGCTCCATGAGGCCCATATCCAAACGCCTTTCAGCCAGATTTCTAAATTGGGCCTTTTGGGATTCAATGAAAGACGCTGAGCCCGATAGATCATTGGTGGGCTCCATGAGGCCCATATCCAAACGCCTTTCAATAGCGTGGTTGATGCTCGATGCCTTGTATTATGTAATATTATATTTTCAGAAATTATATAGGGATGGATTGTTTCACAGTCAATATTTCATAATTAATATAATTTACATTTATAGCTTTTTTTTGTATTTTTTATTTTTTCATACAACAAAATCCTTCCAGTCACTCCTTATATCAAATTTAATGGTTTATTATATATTAATTATTTGAGCAATCCTCTTCTCGAGTGACAATGCTACTACCAGCATGAACATTACTCAATAATTAATTATTGGAAGTTCAAATCATCATCCACCTATGTTATATAGAGAAAAAAAAAATCATTTTATTGGTACATGAAATAAGAATCATATAAATATAGTTTCAAAATTTTGTTTACAAACAGAGATGCAAAACAGGGGCAGCATTTAGTGGCAATCAAGAAGAAAAAAGAAAACCCCTTTAGATGTACTCACGAGGCAATCATTTGTCCAGAATTACAACACAATAAGATACCCTACGAGTAAAGAACACCAAACTTTGTAGCGAGTCGCACAGTGGCATTATCTCCTACTAGACAACAATTTGCAGCTCTGTTATTCCTATTCAAGAATCATGATCCTCCAACGCACTGTAAATCAACCTGCAAACACAGAGAACCAAAATTGAAGAGAGCAGAACAGTAGGATTCAACCAAATAAGAAAACGGTCTCTCCTCTTGGATTACCAAAATATGGAGAGAAAGAGAAGAGAAATAAGATAGACGAGTTTGAAAAGCCTTCGCTTCTTTTCCCAAGGTAACTGATTGAATATCTCGGTGACATCCACCAGGTGCTTTCGCTGAGTGTACCTAATCACCAGCAAAACACACATCAGATGGATAAAGAAGTTCGGCATGAATTACCAGCAATGAACAAGTCCAGTATTAAAGCCATGACCAACCCAATCTCTTTCAAAATATACAAATCAATCATCCTTCATTTACAATCTTACCTCTTCAGCTTTTTCTTTTTTTTTTTTTCTTTTCTTTTCAATTTATAGCATGCTGCCATGCTCCTCGATTTAGTAAACAGTCCAATCAAAGATGCAAGAATCAGAGAATCTTACAATCTTAAATTGTAATAGAGGTAGGGCAAACAAAAGAATGACATAATCCAATGCCCTGTTAAAAGATAAAAGATGCACAAGACCCCTTGGGTGATGAACTCAGGTACCACCACTTTGTTTATTCGTGATGAGGAATCATAAGGATTGATATAATCAAACTCAAGATCAGCTAAGCACATCAGCTGCAACAAGTTTCAAAAGCATCATAAGTTCCTCAGTTCCAACATTGTTACACCAAAGGTATTAGAAAATTAACAAAACAGTATTGTCAATCAAATATTCATATGTAGGGAATGGTTGTACTAATGGCAGGGTATAAGCGAATTAAGATAGTAAGCTTCCAAAAATGGGCAGCTGGTATTTATAAACTAAAATCCATCGCAAGGCAGCTAGTCAATCGACTTAAGGATAGCACAGGCAATTATGATTCACAGAGAACAGACAGAAGGGGAATCGACTTAAGCAAACATTGTTTATATCGAGAAATCAAGGGGCCTTCAAATCAAACATCAGACAGCTTCCTATCCATCTTCCTCTCTACAAGTGTCGTGGCTAAGAAATTTTAGACAAGTCTCTAGGCTGTTAATGCCGCCCCAGAAGGTAACTTAAACAATATGTCCACAAAAACACATCAGTATGCAGAAAAGTTAAGTAATTGCTAAAAACACATCTTTAGCGTCAAACAATATAAAATCTGAATTCTCCGGTGACTTCAAGAAAATTAACGGGCAAATACACAAAATATACAAATTCTAGGGTTTAGAGACAACCTGGAAAACGACGAGTATGAGAAGCGCAATGATAAAGAAGAAAGAGAGGAGCCAGACGTAGATATCAGCCATAGAAATGCCCTCAACCAAGTCCCTGTCTCTTGTCTCTCTCCCTGTGTGTGCGATTTGAAATACAAACTCAATGCCGCAACATCGTCACCGAACATACATGCCCCTGCGGTAGAGGAAACGGATTGGAGAAGATGATGAAGGATTATAGGAAACGTGCAAAGTGAACGCCGGCGATCATAATCCTTATGCACAAAGAAGCGACCGAATCTGGTTGATCGGAATTTCACAAAGCAACCGGAGGCTCCAGATTTTTTTTATTTTATTATTATTATTATTTTTTTTTTTAAAGAACTTTTAGCTGCTTACTTGTTGCATAGGCAATTCCTTCTTCTTCTTCTTCTTTTTTTTTTTTTTTTTTGGTTAATTTGAGAAGGTTTGGACTCTAGATTGAAAAAAAAAAAGTATCCAATAATCCAATCAGACAAAATATAATTGAGGGACTACATCTTAAAATAAATAAACTTTTCCAAATCAAGTATGCTCAAGTTGAATTAAAAACCAATCTTTTTAAAAAAAAAATTATTTTAGTCCACTTTGACAATTACAAAAAAAAAACAAATTTTGTATTAAAAGACCTAATAAAATGATAAATTCTCGTTAGAGTATTGGAATTTTAGTTCAGTATATTAAATTCATAGGATCGTTTAGAGAAAAATTCATAGGAAATTGTGAGAATAAATTATTTTCATTATAAAATTAAATTTGCAATTTTACAACAAGCTCGTTTAGCTCAGTTAGTAGAGTGCAAGGCCCTTAACATTGTGGTCGTGAGTTCGAACCCCACAGTGGGCGCTTTTTGTTTTCATATCTTCTTATATCTTATGTATTATTGAAATACAAAGTAGTGACTAATTTGACAAAATGCCCGTCTAGCTCAGTTGGTAGAGCGCAAGGCTCTTAACCTTGTGGTCGTGGGTTCGAGCCCCACGGTGGGCGCTTTTGTTTTCATATCTTTTTATATCTTATGTGTTTTTGAAATACATGTGTTTTTGAAATACAAAGAGTGGGACTAATTGAGCCAAGGCTCTTAACCTTGTGGTCGTGGGTTCGAACCTTATGGTGGGCGTTTTTAAAATCTTTTCGATCTTTAATCTTTTGGGCTTTGCCATTTAAGTTGGGTCTCTTTGACTCGATTTAAACTCACTAATCTTTTTTAATTTGTAGTCTAAATATATATAATATATGTACATGTCATCTAATGTCGCCCTAACCTAAGTTATTGTAATTTTAAATTTCTAGTATACTATCACATCAATAGAAACATATTCATAAGTATGTCATCTAATGTTTTGTTTTTTTCTTGAGAATTGGTTTTATTTTTTCTAAAATAGATTTAATAAAATAATACATTTTTTTTATTATTAAAAAAAAAAAAAACAAGTCATTGGACGGTGTGGAAACTTTCACTGACCAGTAAGTTGACGTAATTATGACCAAGGATGGTAACCACGTGGCAGATAATAGGTGGATGGTGGGCCCAATATTCCTCTAATTATTACCCCTAAGCTTTAATAAATAAAAAGAAACCAAATTTGTGAAAAAATGATTCTCTTATTTTAATCATTCGCTGGACTTTTTACGGCTTTTCTACCGAGTTCATGTCGCCAGTTCATCTTTGCCGTACACGTGTCTGCCTCCTTAGCAATCATAGGCGACATGTACGGTGATGGGCCCTACTCCTTTATTTTAAAATCGAAGCCCAATAACAGAGAAAAGCCCAATTCAGAACAATCATAATGGGCCGTAGCATGATTAAGATTCTGATACGTATGAAGGTGCGTCCCATGTCATATGCCATCTAAATCAGAAATTATTTCCAACAGTGGAATTTAATGATAGCTACCGACTTTATATATTTATTTATTTATTTACTTATTTCTTGACTCATAATATTTCTTTCAAGAATTATTCAAATACAATCGTAAAATACCAATTAAATTAATTTAACATTATTAAAATAAAGTTAAATTTATAATATTGTTGCCAAAATTGAAATAAGAAAATGTACATGATTTTCACGTGGGCAGATCACAAGGAGACACGAGGATCGAATATAAAAACGAAGGCCGTTAGAAGAAAATTTTGTTTTAATTCTAAAAAATGAAAAAATTAAGGCTATTAACCACGCAAAATTGGGTCCATAATACCAAACAAAATAGCGACGGAAGTACGGCAATAAAAAGAAAATAATAAGAATAAAGTAAAAACAAAACCTGTGCGCACGCATTTTTATACAATTATAATAAAAAAAAAATAATAATAATTACAATAATTAATATAGGGTTGTGGTGGGGTGAGTGATTGCAATTAGAAATTAAAAAAATAGAATTCCTTTATTTGTTTGAAAATAAAGAACAGAAAGAAGATTGTTTGAGTTAATTTGGTGTGTAATGGTTGGGATTTGTTAATGAGCGGTCAATTTGAGAGGGTGCAAATTAAGGTGGATCACAGTTGGGGCTCCTACTCAACTCTCCTCCTCCTAATAAAATCCTGCAAATTCATTGTCTTTATTCAATGAACAAAAGGACAATTAGAAATAAGTTTTATATTAAGATGCAAGAAAAAAAAGAAATTAGGGAGGGATGGGACAAATAAAAGGCTAATCAATGTGTTTGTGTCCCATGCCACATCCACCAACATCGTACCATATGGGGTTTCGCTATGTCTATGCCCAAACTTCATTCAACTAATTCTTTTCTTTTTTTAAAAAAAATAAAACAATAAACAATTACAAACATTGTCTCATTTCACCGTTGAATCAGAAAATACCAATGATAAACACACGTATTTTTCTCCTACTTAAAAACAACAATGTATTTTTCCTTTGTTTTTAAAGCTGTTTTATGAATAGTTTTTTTATGCCACGTGTGTGTCGCGTGGCAATAGGTTATCCTCAATTAAATGTTCCTATTTTCATCCATAAAAGATCTCATTGCTACTTTGGTGGCATTTCATATTCTCCAAATTGGTGGTTATACCACAAGAGTGTAGATTCGTATAAAACTTCCCTATTTCTATTTTTATTTTATTTATTTATATAAAATAATAATTTATTCCCTTTTCTATGAAAAAATAAAACCTCTCCTAATTTTCTAAATAAATTTTATTTGATTGGACACTTTTAATCTCATAAATATATTTTAAATTCTTTTGGTACAAACTTTAATAATCAGTTTGTCAATTTATTTATTTTTGCTTCTTTTAATCAACCCAAATATATATAAATATTAGTAACCTTTTCATATGAGTTACGAAATTTGAATTTCTTTTTCACACCAATTTTAATATAATTATATGCAAGAAGTTGATGTTGGAATAAAAGTGTAAATGTATTTTTCTTGATATATCAAAAAAACGTGAATAAAAGTGAAGCAATATTAAGTAGCACAACAAATTTGAATATCGAATATCATTATATTTATCATATTGAGTGATTGTCATTTTCATCAATAATAATATTTCAATATTAAAAAAATACATTCTCCATACTTTATTTAAACCAACATGATAGTTTTTAAATTAAACATTTAATTTTATGGAGTTGAACAGTGAGAGATTTTTTTCCAAATTATAATCTTAAACTAATTAATAAACCATACTGATTCAATAAAAATAAAAATAAAAATAAAAATACTTGAGATCAAATTAAATTAAAAAAAAAAATCAGGCATATGATTTTTGTTATTAATTAAAATAAATTAAATAAAGGAGATGAAAAAGGCATAAATCTATTTAAAAATAAAAAAGAAAATGGGATTCAAAGGTTAAAAACCTGAGCACATGAGAAAAGAAATGGAAAATTGGAGCAGTGAAAGTAATAAAGGGGGATTATGAGAAGCTATTATTAATAACCTAATTTAACTCCAACTTGACCTTTCGAAAGAAATCATTTCCAGAGCATTATTTATTTATTTATTTATTTATTATTTTTTAATTTTTGAAAATAAAAAGAAAAATCAAATTATGACTTTATTATAATATTTAGAAAACGAAACAAATATTTGGAAAAAAAATGAAAAAGAAAGAAACGGACAAAGAAAGGGGTACCCCACAAGACCCACACAACAAGACACCAACAACATAAAAGAAAAATAATAAAATAATAAAATAATAATCCCCTTTTCTTTTTCTTTTTTTTTTTATAAATTTTTTTTGAGTGAAACCCTGCAAAGTGCGCGTGGAGTACACTCTCCAATCAGGAGAGATTGATGAGTATGACACAACACAGTGTTCTCGTACGTGAGATTAAGATGCTACCACCTGATGGTAAGAGTTTTCCATCACAATTACCCACCCCGTATGTGGTTTTCCCACGCGCATCGATCCGCGTGTAAGCGCGTGAAATTTGAACACAGATCTCTTTTCTCGTCTCGGTCTCCCTATTTCTCTTCCTCGTAGTGTTTATTCCTTCTTTCTCCCCTGGAATTTCGTCTTCCAACAGTTTTCAACTCTTTGTTTTTTCTAACACAAAACAATTTATCACATCACTGAAACCCAATAACTGACCTCTACCCAGTTTCCAATATCCCCCTCTCTAGATCGCCGGCCTCCGCCATGGAAGCTCGCCGGGATTCCCAGCGGCGGCCCCGGCCGGTTCAATGTACCACGTCGTTACTCGCCAAAATCAACTCTGGATCCTGAACCAGCAACTGGGTCTTCCCTAAATTGTCTAAAGTTCGAAGCTTTTTTTCTAGGCCGCAATGGCGGCTACTAACGCCTCTACTCCGCCGCCGCCTACGGCAGTGGAGTCTGGCAGTTCCTCAGCTGATGAGCTGACTGCCAAAGCCGTACACAAGCGATACGAAGGACTGCTGGTGGTACGGACCAAGGCTATAAAGGGTAAAGGCGCTTGGTACTGGGCACACCTCGAGCCCATCCTCGTCCACAACACTGACACTGGTTTGCCTAAAGCCGTTAAACTCAGGTGCTCCTTATGCGACGCCGTTTTCTCTGCCTCCAACCCTTCCAGGACCGCCTCCGAGCATCTCAAGCGCGGCACTTGTCCCAATTTCAACTCTCTGCCCAAACCCATTTCCTCCGTTTCCCCTTCTTCATTTTTATCTCCTGCTCCCACTTCTCCGCCTGCCCTTCAACACATCAATCGCAAACGAACCTCCTCTGCCGCCGCCGCCGCCGCCGCCGCAGGTGGAGGCGGAGGCGGAGGCGGAGGCGGAAGTGGTGGGTCTTCTTACCAAGTCTCACCTCTTGCGATTGTGGATCCTTCGCGGTTCTGTGGCGAGTTGATGTATTCTCAATCAGTGGCGGCGGCGGCCAGTGGTGGTGGCGGCAGCGGTGGGGGTCTGTTGGCGCAGCAGCCACATTTGATGTTATCGGGAGGGAAAGAGGACTTGGGGGCGTTGGCTATGTTGGAGGACAGCGTGAAGAAGCTAAAGAGTCCAAAGACTTCTCCTGGGCCAACGCTGAGCAAGACGCAGATTGACTGCGCCCTCGATTTCCTCGCCGATTGGGTTTACGAATCCGGTGGCTCTGTATCGTTTTCAAGCCTGGAACATCCGAAATTCAGGGCGTTTCTCAACCAAGTTGGACTACCCTCGATTTCTCGCCGGGAATTTACGAGTTCGCGGTTGAATTTGAAATTCGAGGAGGCGAAAGCAGAGTCGGAAGTTAAGATTCGTGATGCTATGTTTTTCCAGCTCGCTTCCGATGGGTGGAAGGATAAAAACTACGCTGTTTTTGGCGTCGATAAGCTTGTGAATCTCACCGTGAATCTCCCCAATGGTACTAGCTTATACCGGCGGGCTGTGTTCGTCAGTGGCTCTGTTCCTTCTTCGTACGCTCAGGAAATTTTGTGGGAAACCGTTGCTGATATCAGTGGGAATGTGGTTCAACAGTGTGTAGGGATTGTAGCAGACAAGTTCAAGGCTAAAGCGCTTAAGAATTTGGAGAATCAAAATAACTGGATGGTCAATCTCTCTTGTCAGCTTCAGGGCTTTTCAAGTTTAGTTAAGGATTTCAGCAGGCAGCTCCCATTGTTCAAGACTGTGACTGAGCATTGTATAAAGCTTGCTAATTTCGTCAATTACAAGTCTCAGGTTCGTAATTGCTTCCATAAATTTCAGCTGCAAGAGTACGGCCACGCCGCTTTGCTCCGAGTGCCTCCTCGCGACCATGAGAAGCTCAACTCTGGTCCTGTTTTCACTTTAATGGATGACATTCTCAGCTTCTCTCGAGCTCTGCAGCTGGTCGTGCTTGACGAGACCTGCAAAATCGCTTCCATGGAGGACCCGATCGCGCGGGAAGTAGCAAAGTTGATTGGGGATGTGGGGTTTTGGAGTGAATTGGAGGCAGTTCATAGTTTGGTTAAATTGGTAACAGAAATGGGTGTTGAGATTGAGAAAGATAGGCCACTGGTTGGGCAATGCCTCCCATTGTGGGATCAGCTGAGGGCGAAAGTGAAGGATTGGTGTTGTAAGTTTCAGATTGTTGAAGGGCCCGTTGAGAAAGTGATTGAAAAGAGGTTCAATAAAAACTACCACCCGGCTTGGGCGGCGGCGTTTATCCTTGATCCATTGTACTTGATAAGGGACACGAGCGGGAAGTACCTGCCGCCATTCAAATGCCTCACTCCTGATCAAGAGAAGGACGTGGATAAGCTGATAACCAGGCTGGTGTCCAGGGAGGAAGCTCACATTGCATTGATGGAGCTGATGAAATGGAGGACAGAAGGGCTTGATCCAGTTTATGCAAGAGCTGTACAAATGAAGGAAAGGGACCCTGTAAGTGGGAAGATGAGAGTGGCTAATCCACAAAGCAGTAGGCTTGTTTGGGAAACTTATCTTACAGAATTCAAGTCATTAGGGAAGGTTGCAGTGAGGCTGATTTTCCTTCATGCCACTTCCTGTGGTTTCAAATGCAACTGGTCTATGTTGAGATGGGTGTCTTCTCATACTCACCAAAACCCTGGAATGGAGAGGGCACAGAAGTTGATATTCATTTCAGCTCATTCCAAGCTCGAGCGCAGGGATTTTTCCAGCGACGAAGACAAGGATGCCGAGCTTTTCTCCCTACCCAACGGTGAGGATGACGTTCTTAACGATGTTTTTGCCGATACATCCTCGGTGTAACGGTTTTCGATTTTTATTTTTATTTTTATTTTTTCTTCTTCTTCAGATTCTTAGGATTTATTGAATTCTTTTCACTGTGTTCTCCTTGATTTGTACCAAATTTATTTCACCTTAGAAGATTTTGGGGGATGTAGGGTGGAAGAAACAGGGTTGTTCATATGAGATTGACTTTTGTATTCCTCGAAATGCATCGGCTTATCCATATTGTTCTATTTTTCCATGTCACTTCTGGTTTCATTCTTCATTACAACATTCCTCATTTTCCTTAGCATCGTCATCGTCATCGTCATCGTCCCCATCCTCATATGAAACCAAGGATTCTCATACCTTGATGAAGAAGTTCTACTTCCAGTTATCGACATTGCTCAATTTTTGGATCGCCATATCTTATATGACCATAGGATAGTCTCCAAGATTGTATTTTGAATTTCCCTCCCTGTCGTGTCGAGTCGAATTCGGGTTGGGACTTCAAATTCATACAGCCATTGGTTGTAGGAGCTCGGTGGGTTTGTAATGTTCTATATTCCTTGAGTTATAAGCATTAGTGTGGGTACAGTTTGTTATGTGTGGTCCTTTTGTTAGATGGAAAAATGATTAAAGAAGATTCGTTTAAAACTGTGGCATTTTTAATTTTGAAATGGGCCCATTTCATCCCATCATGAGCTTCGTTTTTTGGTGATCTGCAGCAAAGAAGATTGACGTTTTACCAGGAAGATAACTAACCAAGTGTGGGAAGTAACATCGGTGAGTTTTTTTTTTTTTTTTTGTTTGTTTACAGACACATTTGACAAAGATATCCTGGGACTTGCAACACAGCATTAAGCATAATAACCATACAGAACAGAGTGAGTGAGTTGTTGGATGAAGTGAATGGATAATGATTAGCGTTGAAAATTTGGGGATGGAAAAGAAAGAAGAAGTTTTGTGGTTGTGGTTGGTGGAAGGGCGTAGCGAAGACGAGGGCAGGGCAGGGTAGGGCGAGCGGCGGGGAGGAAGCTTTTCAATAGTATTGTATTGAACTGAAAAGAAAGCAGTGGAAGTCATTTTCGAAGCTTTTGGTTGTGAGTAAGTGAGTGAGTGAGTGATGGAGAGACAAAAACCAGAAAAGAAAAGAACACCCATTTTTCCCTCAAGTCATAAACTTGGTCGAACAAGATTGTAATTACAAATTATTGTCGGCAAACCTCATTCTAATGCTGACTGCTCACCAACTCACTTTTCTTTCTTTTCTTTTTTTCTTATTTATTCATTTTCACAATACATAAAAAGAGAAATAATGATTAGTATTGGACGACAGCCTCTCCTTTACACAAGAATCTTTCCCTCTTCCAATGCTCTCTTAATTTAATTGCCCCTTTCCGTTATCATTGCTCTTTCTTTTTTCATTTTTTACAAACATTTTCCTAACAAACCCTAAATATTTAACAACCATTTGAGGATAACTCAATCTTATCCCTTTTACCTAAAACAAATTATTGAGCCTTACCTACACAGAAAATAATAATAATAATAATAAAATATTAACTTTTATTGACCAATTACTTTCAAAGTAAAGGGTAGGGCGCAGAGTTTTAGAAAAACCTCAAATGGGTCAATACTTGTCACTTGCTGTCTTGTTTCATTTTTCACTCAAAAACTCAATTTTAAAAAATTTAATTTAATCCTTCCGATATTTAAATCAATAGATAAATCTATAAACCATAGAATCTGTGAGTGAAGATTTAGATTCTTTTAATCACACACAAAACGAAGGCGGTAAATTTATATTGACAAAAAAAAAAAAAAAAAAAAGGACAAGTGGTCAAATGGCAAAATGGGAAAATTGAAAGAATAAATACAATTTTTTTTTTTTTTTTATTAAAGAAAAGTGTGGGGGAAAAAAAGAGAATAATAGTGTACAAACAAGAGCATCGGTATCCGAGGCACGTGTCACTATCATGGTGTTTATAAAGTGCTTGAGGGCGTACGGGATGGCCCACCATCCAACTAATAATGATACCTGATTTATTTGGAATAATAACACTCGACTTATATGTGGGTAATTATACGCTGCGTGACCCTACACCATAGTCCCCACTCTCCTCCCTTACTTTGACCGTTCACTCAATCTTTCTTTCATCTTAAATATATAGGACTAAACTTACCCAACTCCACCACTCCAAGTTAATGTTTTTTAATCTTTTTCTAATTCTTTTTTTTCTCATTTTTTTAAAAATAAGATTAATAATTCCGGGAAATTCTAGATATATTTCCTGTGAACCCACGTGCAGGTTTTTGCCAACTGTCCATATAAAAAAAAAAAAAAAAAAAACAAATATTTTTGTATATATAAATTCTGGTCACGTGGTCCCCCGTCAGCGCAGGAAGAGGAGGAGGAGGAGGAGGAGGGAGGATAGATTCATGGGACGAGAGATCTACTTGAGTCAATGTCCGTACGATGACGTCACAGTCTAGTGTTCGTGATGTCTTTGTAGTTTGTCCAGACTCGTAGGGGTAAACTCGTCATCTTCCTAGTTCCAACTTTGATTCTACACTTACTATATTTACGCCTGTTCAAACGTCCAACTTCAATTATTTTGTTTCTTCTTTTACTTATGTATTTTTCTTTTTCTTTCAAAAAGTAAAATTTTGTGCTATAACTACAACTACCTCATTATTGACGAGTATTTCAATGATTATTGAATCTTATTTATTATTACTTTATTATTGGTTTTTATATATATATATATATATATATATATATATTGTTAAATTCCTAAATTTCTAGTTTAGGGTTGAGAAAGTAAAGGGGAGAGAGTAGGCATGGCATTTGAATTGATAGCAATGGCATGTGGTTATGCTCATATTGTAGCCAACAATCTTAATGTCCAAGATATCATTATCAATCTCTTTTTCTCCTTTTTCTCTACAACATATATTCTCTTCCTCTTAAAATATTTAAATAAATTCATTAAAAAAAAAAAGAATAAAGTAAGCTTTTCCCTTTTTATAATGGAATAAACAACGATGTAAAAAAAAAAAAATCTTATCCAATTTAAATAACTAATTGCGTTTATTTGTACAAGAAAGGAATTCCAAATATAACAATAAAGGCCGGGAACAAAGATATAAAAAAAAAAAAACTAACTAAAACTCGATTAAAAGTCAAATTAACCACTAATCCAAATAACTAATTGTAATTTGGTATTTTAAAATCACAATTTAAATTGATTGATAGCGGTAATGAATGAGATTTTGAATGAAAAGAAGGAATAAAATTGATTAAAGAAGGTATGGAAAGAGTGATATATGATGATGGTGTCTCATATGCTCACTCCTAATTGTTGCCTGTTTACTCAATCTCTCTTATAATTATTCCCAATCACAATAAACTTTTTGTAATAATATAAGATTATTACACTAACCCAAGTGTATATAAAGCTTGACATTTGAATGGTGCAGGAAAGAAACGGCAAACGGCAGTTGTAGAAAGTCACGTGCGTTGTGAAAGTGGTCACGTGCTAACACTCGACACGGAGACAGTTGGGATCTCATGCGACAGTACTCATAGAACTTTGCAAGTTGGTGTGCTTTGTCAATACCCCTTTTCACCTTTCCTATTAAAATTGAATTCTCTTTTTCATGGTGCCTAAATACAATGCATTATATATTTAAAATTAAAAAAAAAAAAAGAAAGAAAGAAAGAATTATTATTATTATTTATTTCAGCTTTTTAGCTAAAAATTGGCCTGCTTTCACAGACAATAAACAAAATAATTGCTGACCATAACTTTTCACCCATTTATCGTATACATTATTGTCGCCAATAACATTTTAGTTTCTACTTTATAAATTTTTTTTTTTATTCAAATGGATCTATAAAGTCTACAGATGATTTAGTCAAAATTCAACCACTTTATGAATTTTATTTTTTCGTAATTAATTGAATTTTTGGGAGACCATTGACTTCCAAGTAATTAACTTTTTGTTGATTGGTTTAAAGGGAAAAGGTCTAAAAAGCTTCCAATATTAATTTTTAATGGTAAAAAATAATAAAGAGTGTAAGAATGTGGGGTTTAATGGTGTAGATTACTTTATTTAATTGATGGTTTGAAAATTGTGGCATACGTGGGGGCATCTTCGTTTTACCATAATTATATTTGAATACCCTACCTACTTTTTATTTTCTATTTTTAGACTAATAATTTAATTTCCCCCACCCCTCAATTATCCTTTAATTTATTCTGGCTCATTAATTATTTATACATGTGCTTAAATTAATAATAAATACACGTAATTATTAATCAGTATTTGATGACCAAAACTCACTCACCCTCTCCATCAAGATTCTCACAAACTTAAAAAAACTTTTTTACTCATATAAATGAAATTAAAGTCATATAGGGTATACCCTTTTTATTTTTAATTTGATATCATATATTTTGATTTATACATGGTGAAAGTGGTAATTTCACATGGGGGCAGGGTGCCACTAGTTTCTAAAAGGGCGACTATATATGTCCTTAAGGCAATGTATGGAATCTGATAATGAGATATGGTAGGTGTAGTAGTTTACAACAAAAGCTACATATATTTTGATTTTGGTTATTTTCAACTAAAAAATTCATAAACAATAGGATGAATAATTATTACTATTTCTTGAGATGCAATCGAATCGAATAGGAATGATGATATCGTATCAATTATGAATTTTTTTTAAAAAGACTTTATGGTTTACTTTGAATTTTGCAATATGAGGATTAAAAGATGTATTGAAAGCAGTTTTGTTAAAAGTGAAGGTTGTAGGGTATAGGCTGGTAGCAAATTATGATGATCCTCTCATTTGGGTAAGACAATAACCCTAAACTTATTGAATGTAGGGGAACTGGTAAGTATGATAAAACATGGAGCAAAAGGTATATTTTTGACCTTCTAGAATGCTTGAAAATGATGTAGAAATTTGACTTAAAATTGAAGGGCACATTCCCTAAAGAAAAAGGAAGATTGGAAGATTGGTTAAATGAAAAGTGGGTTGTTAGGAGTGTTTAAAGTTGCATTAATTATTGATGCTAGGACATGAGGGTTCATTATATGAAGGTCAAAGTTGTTAATAGAATCTATGTGTAGGGTTTTTAATTGGGCTTCACCTTCTACATCTACCATTTTCCCTTTCCACTCTCTTAATAATTAATGCTACCATTTCTTTTCATTTTTCATCTTTACATATAATTCTAAAATCTGGGTCA